GCAAAGATGACTGTTTTAAGGTCATTGTCTGCTTGAGGAATTATGACATGCATAAATTCTGCTTTTGTCAAATAGACCACTTGTTGTGTGTCTGAAATAAAGCTAGAATACATTGCAAAGACTGGTGTTAGAGCCGCTTCTTACTCCAGTGCAAGGGGTGCATCTTCGCTTTGAGTGTTATGTGGGCCTTCAGCAGAGCAAATATTCGCCTGAGATTTTTTCATTGAATCCTTCACCTGGTCTCTGCCATACTTATAAGTGAGTGTATTCCCCTATGGTCCGGTCAGCAAAATTTTCTTCCAGCAGAGGTCCGTATCTCGTTAGCAATATAACACATCACAGTCCCCCGGTAAATTATCATCTTTAGCGTACCTTTCACACAGTAGTCCCCCTAATATCACAGTCCCCTCTTTAACCGTTTCAATACCGTGCAATTTTACACCTTCCTGCCCAGGCCATTTTTCAGGTTTCAGCGCTCTCACATTTTGAATGACAATTGCGCGGTCATACGACACTGTACCAAAACTAAAATTTTGTCATTTTCTTCACACAACTTGAGCTTTCTTTTGGTGGTATTTAATCACCGCTGGGGTTTTTATTTTTTGCTAAATTAACAAAAAAAGACCAAAAATTTTGAAAAAAAAAAACACATTTTTCTTTGTTTCTGTTATAAAAGTTTACAAATAAATAATTGTTCTTCATAAATTTAGGCCGAGATGTATTCTGCTACATGTCTTTGGTGAAAATAACCCAAATTAGGATGTATTTTTTAGTTTTTAGGAAAGTTATAGAGTTCACAAACTATGGTATAGATCTGAAAATTGATCAATCCTGAAGTACTGACGGCCAATCTAATTTCTTGAGGTCCAAGAATGTCAGAATAGTACAGATATCCCCAAATGACCCCTTTTTGCAGAGTAGACAGTCCGACGTACTTCATAAGAGGCATGGCGAGTTTTTTGAAGTTGTATTTTTTTGTCATAATTTTTTGGAAAATGAAAAAATGAAAAAAATTATTTTCACTATTTTTTTTTTTACATACGGTCACCAGTGCAGTACAGCGTCATCATATAACTGGCATGGCGGTGAACAGGGACACTGACTGGTGACAGTATAAAAAAAAAAATATATATATATTTTTTTTTAATTTGTTTTATTTTTTTTATTATATTTAATTTTTTATTACATTTTTTTTTTTTTTTTAAAGATTTTTTTTCATATTTTACTATGACCAAAATAGTACAATGTTACCATAGTAACATTGTACTACTTTGGGGAAGTGATCAGTATTTTTTTTTTTTACACAATTTGCTTAGCAAAGAATTACTTTGCTATAAGCAAGCATTTACCTGAATGAAATCGATTCATTCAGCTTTTTTTTTTTTTTTTTTTTTTTTTTTTGTGCTTAGCTGTGATTTGGTCACAGCTAATCACATGACATGTGCATGTGATTAGCTGTGACCATTCACAGCTAGGCACTAGTATACAATGGATGGCATCATGAATGAAGCCATCCATTGTATACAACTGTCATGTGACCTGCTGTGATTGGTCACAGCAGGTCACATGGTACCAGCAACGGGAGCCGGTACTCGGATCTGTCATCGGCCGTGTCCGAGGTGCACGGCCGATGACAGATCGCACTGCTGCGCCGCTCTGCACTAGCGCAAACGGCGCATGTGCGGGAGCACGCCAAATGGCGTGCACCCGGAATGCAGATACACATCTGAAGCCGCCAAACGGCCATTGGCCGGGCGGCTAATGGTTAAAGAACTCCCACAGTGTCCTCAGTTCCCCTTCACATCACTGCCCCTCTTTACATCGCAATGCCCCTTTAAATATCACCGTGCCCCTTAACACAACATTGCACCCCTTAACACAACAGAGCCCCCATCACAACACAGCACCCCTTTTAATGCAATCCTTCCCCTGCACAGTCCAATGCTACCTTAGGCAGAGCAGAGGCACTAATTCTTCTGGGGTGTCCTCTCTTGGGCCTACAGCCAGCCACCTATGTCATTCTCATAGCACGGTGGGAGGAGCTTCAGATCGGGACTGAGCTGCCTAAGTTATTATATTAACAAGTGGGTGATTGCCTGGCTTACTAACATGAAAAGACTCCCACTTTCTGTCTCGAGCTGCAGAGAGCGGAAGTCTTTGCGTATTAACAAGCTGGGTAATCACCAGCTCCCGCCCCCCTCAGTCCTGATCTGCAGCTACTCACAGCCCGCCCACTGTGAGGATGATATCGGTGGCTGAGTGAGAGGTCCACCAATTATTGACCACTGCCTTATGGGCTACCCACGAAATAGGATGCCGTGTATAGGGTAAGTGTGTCTGTAAGTACACAGTAACCCCGGTGTAGATCGTCTTGTAATAAATTCTCAGTGAAAGAGAGGGCGGAAGTGCCTGAATACCCTATAACGACTTTAGACATATGTTTCAATAACGTTTGTAACCAGTTGTGTGATGTAACACCTGGTCATCCACCTGAGAAAAAGTTCAGAGTGGTTTAATTTTAGTGCCAAATTGAAAAGTTTATACTTCGAGGTGAATACAGTCCAAACATAGTCCTGTTTTCACAGTAACGGTCAGAGATCCAGGGTGACCCTGCCTTACCTGTCCATGATGCTGGACTGGAAAAGTCCAGGCTTCACCCATCACGGTGGGAAAACCCCAAGGTGTCTTCAGGAACTTCCAGATCGATGGACGAACTTGGGCCCTTAACCTGCACAGCACCCTGCAGATAACTCAACAGGCTTCACCAAGTGTCACCGTGAATGCCCATCCAGTGCCCAAACCAAAATTACAGGCTGTCCACACAGGGTGGGGTCTGGGTACATACTCTCAAGGTTTAAAAAAAGTTTCTTCGATCTAGATTCACTGCTTCTATGCTCGCATTAGAAGACAGTGAAGCCTTAACTGGAGAATCAGAAGCTAAATTCATAAAGAAAAATCATAAACTAATTAAAAGAGAAGTAGGCCAAACATTTTTGGCCCTACTTCGCCTATGAATCACAGGACTGCAGTTTGTTCTGCACTTCTGTGACCCATTTTCATTTGACAGAGGGCTAAAGCTGATGTCACAGAGCCAGTTTGGGCTCTGGAAAGATCCCGCCCATGTGGTCTGAGTCTGCCCAAAAGTCTAACTGGCAGCTGGCTCAGCATGCCGTTGAGAGCCTGAGCCAGCTGCTCCGGCCCCCACCACAGCCTGGCGCTCCTGTGAGTGCTGGATGGGCAGAGCAGAAAGCCAGTGGCTGACAGTCACCGGCTCTCTGCTCAGTGAAGACTGAGAACTGAGCAATCAGTGCTTTTTGATCGCTCAGTTCTCAGTGTCAGACTGAGGACTCATGGAGTGAGGTAAGCTTAGAGGGAGGCACTCAAGGGGTATGTCCTCCTATGATTTGACAGTGTCATTCGCCTATAACGAATGGTGTATGAAGGCTCTGACTGTTTCTTGTACTGTATGATTGATATAAATTTGTAACCCTACCTAGAAATTTTCCATACATTTTCAAACCAATCACAAAATACAGTGCCATTTGCAATTGTTCATCATAATTGTGAGCCATTAAACAAAATTCAAGGACACCACCTAATATGCAATAAATAATAGGAAAAGCAATCCAGCTATATGTGGCACATTCTAAGAACCATACCCAGCAAAGGGAAGTAGTTTAATAAATATATTGCCTGTTTGTACATAACTCATCATCATAATTTTCCCCCAACACCAACTATCAATAATCCCTCTCTTGCTTGGCTGTGCCTTGTTTCCTCAAAATGATGTGTGAGGGCTTTGCTAATTTAGCTCTTTCCCATCTACATTTAACACTGCTGCATTCTAACTATGCAAGACTAAGCTCATCCCAAAAAATGTTTATACTCAGTAAGGCTGACCAACTGCAAACTCCTAAAAGCACTGCTGCTCAGGAGGGAGGTTGCACAGCACAAAATGTGCAGAAATGCAATCACACCGAGAAGCACATTGCAGTTTAAGAAAAGATTTCAACGTGTAATTATTGCGTTTTAGGCTACATTTAGTTTGCCATGTTCTAACACAATGTAAAAATCATCATTTGTATTCTGGTCAAAAGCAGGGACATGTAATAGTATAGCTGTTCTCTATAATTAGTGTAACCAGAGTATTGGAAAAAAGGTTTAATTCAGCATAACTTCAGAAAGAGAATTTGAATTCAGACTTACCTCCTTTAGGACTAATACACAATTGCCTGGGCCCACGGATTTCGGAAGCTCTGCTATCCTTCCTTTATTCAAATAGGGCCCTGAGAAACAGCGATGGTTGAAGTATATTTTGGGGCATAGATATTTGCCATTGGATGCTGTTTAACAAAAAAGAAATATAAAGAAGTTATTTAATTATAACTACACAAACAAGTATTCAGGCTTCTGAATAATCCTGTGGAATGAATTATATAAAAACATTACAGCAGGCTTCCGTATATGGCTTTGTTGTACAAGTTTCCACTGACTAAAGTAAAAGAGTTAGGCAACCACTGAATTTAAAAGGTACAGTGCTCAGCATAAAGGAGTACACCCCTTTCGAAAAGTAAGATTTTAATCAATATCTCAAGAACCATTTCCAAAGTTTTACAAAACTGAGTTTGATAGAAAAATTTATTTAGCTCATTAAATGAAAGTAAGGTTAATAATAAAAACTTAGATGACAAAATCTTCAGTTTTACTCAACTTAGTTGATGCAAAAACAAATACACCCCATCAACAAAAACTACTACATCTAGTATTTCGTATGACCTCCATGGTTTGTAAGGAGAGCCCCTAGTCTTTTAGGCATGGAATGAACAAATTGGCGACATATTGCAACATCTATCTTTTTCCATTCTTCAAGAACAACCTTCTGTTAGAGACTGGATGCTGGATGGAGAGTGATACTCAACTTGTCTCTTCAGAATTCCCCATAGGTGTTCAATTAGGTTCAGATCAGGAGACATACTTGGCCACTGAATCACTGCTCTTCTTCAGAAATCCAATGTGGTCTTAGATGTGTGTTTTGGATCATTGTCTGTTGGAAAAGTGCACAACCAAGGGCACGGAGTGATAGTAACATCTGCTCTTTCAATATAGAGCAGTACATCTGTGAATTCATGATACCATCAATAAAATGCAGCTCCCCGACACCAGCAGCACTCAAGCAGCCGCACAGAAGGACACTGCCACCACGTTTCACTGTAGGCACCATGCATTGTTCTTTGTACTCCTCACCTTTGCAGCGCCATACAGTTTTGAAGCCATCAGTTCCAAAAACCTTTATCTTGGTTTCATCATTCCAAAGTACAGAGTCACAGTAGTCTTCTTTTTTTTCAGTATGGGCCCTGGCAAATTCTAGGTGAGATTTTTTGTGCATGGGCTTTAGGAGAGGCTTCCTTCGTGAATGCACCCATGCATGCCATTCCTCTGCAGTGTACACCGTATTGTGTCACGGGAAACAATCACCCCAGTTTGGCTTTCTACTTCTTTAGCTAACTGCAGTGAACGTGCAAGGCGATTTTCTTCAACCTTTCTCATCAGAAGACACTCCCGTCGAGGTGTTAACTTCCGTGGACAGCCCAGATGTCTCTGTGAGATGGTTGCAGTTCCAGCTTTGTTAAATTTTTGCATCACTTTTGCTACAGTATTCTGACTGATAGGTAAAGCTTTGATGATCTTCTTGTAGCCTTCACCTTTCTTTTCTAAAGAAACTATTTTCTTTCTCAGGCCTTGTGACAATTCTCTTCCATGTGGTGCCATTGCTGACAGCATGAAATGGGAAGGGGTTTTCTTTGTTAAGTAACGCCCTGTTACAATCAACTGTCTGATGGACACCTGTTTAATGAACAGTTAGACTCACCTGTAGTTGAATTCATGTTAATTAGAATTTTGTTGTCTAAAATTTAGCTTTGCTCCTTAGACTTTCATTGGGGTGTATTCATTTTTGCAACATAATCTTGAATGAATTTGTTAGGAAAAATACTTTTTGTGTATACAAATTAACAAATCTTGTCTGAAACCAATGGCCTGCATTTGTGGGAGTATTTTGCAGTATAGTATCCCATAAAATATTTTGATTCTGAAAGGAAAGTAAAGGTTTCTGAAAAATCGGTTTGGGTGTACTCATTTATGCTGAGCACTTTATGTTGAGATCTTTGTCCTATTAGAACACATCAATGTGTGTTATTGTAAAGAAGGGGTGAAACACAGAGATCAATGCTTTAAAAATGTATAGTAAATTATCAGTCAATTCAAAAGTCATATTTCTTTTATGGGTGAAGTCTGGTGGCCTAAATCACTCACCTTCTTAGTTTTCTTAGCGACTAGCTCACTACCATATTTCCTGACTCTGTTCTGTTATGCACAAAAGACCAATTGTTAGCCTGGAAAATGTGAGGAAAGTTGCTTGATGCCAAAAAAACCAAGAAACACGCAACAGGGAAGGGGGGGAAATCCAATCTTTGACTCAACAGTCTGAGTCCTCTGCTGGCACTGTCCGCTCCTTCTTTTGAGTACCCCTCAGCAAGCTAGGTGCCAAGAGGGCACCTCTGTGCTTGCTCCCAAGCCAGGCTGCATGCCCCCATAGAAACACACAGTGGCAGCAATCCATGGTTGCCAAAAAGGTGGTCACATTTCAATTTGTCTGACCACAGATGTCGGTGTTTCTGGATAATGTTCACATATAGCTTCTTCTTTGCATGACAGAGCTTTATCTTGCATTTTTGGATAACACAGTGAAAAGTGTTCATATACCGTGATTCTTGGAAGCATTCCTGAGCCCACGCAGTGATGTCCATCAGAGGAGCATGCCAGGTTTTAATGCAATGCCATCTGAGGGCCAGAAGATCATGGGCATCCAATATTGCATTTGGCCTTGCCCCTTGCACACAGAGATTTCTCCAGATTCTCGTAGTCTTTTGATGATATTATGTACTGTAGATGACGTTATATTTAGAGTCTTTGCAATTTTATGTTGAGGAACATTATTCCTAAATTTGCTCAACAATTTTTTGAAGCAGCTTTTCACAGATTGGTTATCCTATGCTCACCTTTACTTTTGAGATACTCTGACTCTCCAAAATGCCTTTTTTTTTATACCCAACCATTATTATACAGGATTTATATAGTGCCAGCAGTTTGTGCAGCACTTTACAATATAAAGAGGGACAGTACAATTACAATACAATGAATGATTTCTCAAGGATAGGAGCTAATTAAATTTACTGGGGTTAGGGAGTTCCAAAGAGTGGAAGGTTGTGGAGAGGTCCTGAAGGCAGGGGAGGAGGTAATCAGGGAGCTAGAAAGCGTGAGGTCTTGGGAGGAGCAGAGTGCACCATTCAGGCAATATCTGCTATGCAAAGCCATGCAAAGCAGTGTGCAGGAGCTGACGGGAGAGAACTGTATTGTTTAAATACAGTTCTCAACCTCCGTTGGTAATGCTCCGTGATCACCTGGTGCTGGCAAGTAATCACCAGCCAGGACCTGGTGATTGACAGCCGAGGCCGCGAATAGCAATGCAGGTAGAGCGCATGCGACCCCTACCCGGAAATGCAACATCACGTATATATACACGTGATTTTGCGTACCTCTGCTATAGAGCGGTGGGAAAGCGGTTAAAATCAGCCAGAACAGAACAGCAGCCAGCCAAACACTATTCTGTCACAACACAGCTGCCCTGTTATGTGCACTTTATTTCACAACAGGTTTATCTAGCTATCTGTTCAATTGTTCTAGAGCTTGACCAGAAATTGCCAGATCAATCATTACAAGACATGTAATCTAAAGCCATCAATATGTGGAATTAAACCAATCAATGATGGCCATTCACCCCATCATCTTATAGTTATTTAGAAGTAACACCACAGGGTCACTTTTACTCATCATCTGCAAAAGATAACAAGGATATGCTGCAGTCTATGTGTTGAAAAGCTGTGGTTTCTCTTCGCTGAAAATATTCTATACTCCCAGGTGTGTAGAATTCTTACTTCCTCCCAGCTACTGTAGTTTCTCTCTTTAGTAGAACTATGCAACATAACTGAAAAGTAGCAACTATTAGGTTGAGTTTAATTTGCTGAGTTGTGGTAATAAGCTCCGCAACACAATGTATAAAAACATGTTACAAGTGTGTTGCGATGTCTTTCATTCTTAATTGTACCTCAACACACCTTGCCAATGCAAGTGTGTTGCAGTGGACAACAATTCACTATGGTGTGTTGTGTTACAAAAAAATAGTGCATGCACACTTTGCGAAGCCGATTCAAGTTGAGTGTAACAGTGTGAACCCAGCCTTAGACTTTAAGTGATCTCTCACCTCCCAATCCCAGGGTCTACAGTTATTCTAAGACACAGAAATTTAAAGATCTCCAGTCATTTGTAAAAAAATTAAAAGTCAGCAGCTACAAATACTGTAGCTGCTGTCTTTCAGTAAAAAGACACTTACCTGTCCAGTGATCCAGTGCTGTCCTCACCAGAGCCAGGTTCTTTGCTGGTCTTTGGGTCCCCAATGCCACCATGTTGACTGTGGGAAGCCTGCTGTGACTCCTTGTGGCTTCACAGTTGGCTTCCCACTGCACATGTGCAAGCTGTGCTCCACCCTGTGAATGGTCCCACAGCCTCTTGGGACCTGTAATGTGTCCCAGGAGGTTGCAGGTAGGAAGGGGGGAGAAGTAGGAGCGGGTACCTGACAAAACTAGGTACCCTCTCCCCCCCCCCCAAAAAAAAAGTTCCAAAAGTGGAAGAGGAGGAAGAGGAGGGGGGAAAAGGAGAATCAGTGGAACTTCCTTTTAGGGGTAAAGTCCCGTTTTAAGCTAGAGTAAATAAGATGGTTAATATAAATATTTCATGAGTAATCTTGTGCATTTATAAGGCTGAATATTCTCATTCTTGCATACGCCTTACTGTGATTGGTTCTGGTTGGGTTTCTTTACATGTAATCACCAATCTCAAGTGAATTTGTAACCATTCATAAACCCTGTCTCAATACTTCCCCATCATCTATAAAAATAGAAAAAACCAGACATGACAGCTCTCTTAATGCGACACATATTTAGCATATTATGCATTACTAGTGTTATATTTGTATATGACCAAACATTTTTCTTAGCTGCACAACAGTTTTGAAATTCCAAGTATGGCATATGAAACTCTTACTTGTGTTGCAGGTAGTAGTATCTGTCCTGCTCAGTCCATTCTTAGCAGGCAGATTTCTGGAAAAAAGCAGAATATTTAATTTAGTTTTTTTTAGCTGAGAATATCTGCGAAACAAAATGAAACCCATATTTTATGGCCTGCAGGCATAAGAAAATCTTACGGAAATGTCCATATGAGGAACGATCAGCCAGCTATCTGATCATTAGTATAGTGCTTTTGACAGCCGAATCAGATTTTTTCAGACAACCAAACCAAAGGTGCAAGCTAAAAAAATTTTATCGTACGTGAACACATCTGATTTTCGTTTACTGTGTACAGTAATCGTAAAGAAATAATCAAAAAATGCGCATGATCAGAAGCATAGAACAACCCTACACTTCCTCCTCAACTATGCTAGTAAGCAGCTGCCTTTGTCGGCCGAGAATTTTCTCAAGTCAATACATGCTGACTACATCATCATGTTATTCACTTTCATGGAAAACGGAACGATCGGTCATCTAATTTTTTCATAATGTGTACTAGTGTTTAGTCTGTTTTTTTAGAATGATGTCACACCAGTAACCCTGCAGCAAAGATCTGTAGCAGCTACAAATCTCTTTTCTTCAGTGATTGGTAACTAGTGGGTTGGTTCTATAGCTGGCTGCAATTCTTCTCTATGCAGCTACGAATTCTGGAGTGCCATAACACTAGCAGCTGTATTGAATAACATAATTAGCTACTAAAGCTGGCAATTCCGTAGCCATCTTAAAAAACAGCTCAGTGAAATGCTCAGCAAACGAGCCATGAACTGTGACAGATTCTTTCATTGACTGGAATTTCATGTTACATATTAAAAAAATCACTTGCATGAGTGCTCCTTGGTTTAATACTCCTGGCTTACTTTGAGTTGACTCCTATACGTTCGGTGTGGCCCATGTTGCACGGACACAGAAGCCCATTCCCTTGAATGGACTGCTGTACCTGCGGGAAATGAGGGGAAAAAAAGGTTACCACACCTTTTTACAACCATTGTCGCAGGGAAATCACATGGAGCTGAATGGCAGCCCCACGTGTTTGTAAAAGAGCAGCGCGCTTTGACTGCGGGTGCTGGAACAGGTGTGATTCCCGCTCCTGCAGCCACCAGCACAAGTGTGAATTTAAAAATAAAAAACAAAATAACAGCGCTAGTAAACAAACATAAAATACAATAAAAATAAAATTCTTATATCATAAAATTTACATCAGTGAATTTCATACAGTGAAGATAAAAAATAAAAAATTAAAGTGTCCATGTAAAACATGAATCTAAATTCATAATACAATTAATAAAGTCCCTTCTTCTCCAAAAGTATATACAGTGCTAAGTGCGATCTATGCTGCGATAATGCACCATAATGTGATAAAACTCTGGCAGAGTTCGGTGGGAAAGAAGCTGGAGCGTGTCACGTGTGGATTTTCTCCTCAGTCAGGGAAAGAGCGTCGGCGGAGCCCAGAGCATGGCCTGCACCGCCAAACACAGCTCGGCACATCGCTCCTTCTACAAAGTATCGTCTTTTATGGCCACTGGTCTGTTATGATGAGATTGTGACTGCACATCTTCGAGCTGAGCACTTTGTGACCATTTATAAATTTATGGTCCACCTGGTCTGGTAAGAGGCTCTGACATCTATATGTGGAGGTGGTGGAGTTTTTTCACATCGTGGTGAATTATCGACCAAGATGGACACTTTTTTTTAAATTATCTTTACTGTATGAAATTCACTGATGTAAATTTACTATGATATATGTATTTGATTTTTATGTTTGTTCCCTAGCGCTGTTATTTTGTTTTTTTATGTTTTTTCACTTGGTGTCACAGTGATTAACAGCTGCTTTATTTTCCCTTTTTTTCATCTTAGGCTAGATATATATTTTATTTATTTATTCAAGGGTGAACCTAGCCTAAATGGAAAAAAGCATCCAAACTGAAAGCTGTTCTCTGTATTGGACACAACACTTACATATCAAAGTCTATCAGACTTAATATGGCTAAAGCCATTTGATCATTTAGCCCTGGTTCACACTGAATGTGACTTTGAAATCTTGAAGTAGCGTATTTTCAAAGCCACAGGTCAGTGAGATTTCAGGTGCGACTTGCCTGAAATCTGTGCGACTTCATGTACAGATGTCTATGCAAGTCACACCTGAAATTGCCAAAAATAATGCAGTAACTATTTTCAAAATCATGGCGACTCTGACTGAGTTGGAGTTGCACTGATTTGACCGGTTCCATTCCCGATAATAGGGTGCGACTTGGAACTGTCAAATTGCATGACAAGTCACACCAGTGTGGACTGGGGCTTAAAGTAAAAAACATTTCTGGCATTTCCAGAACAATTTCATAATGATTTTTCTCAAGCCATCAGTTGATATAGACATATATATTCATTGTAAAATTTAAGGGGTTCTAAAACAATGGTGAAAAAAAAAAAAAAAAAGAAGAAAACAAAAAACAAATGTGGGGAACTTAAGATCAGAAAAAAAAGGACACCCAGCAACTTGGAAAATATCAAAATGGATTCCTGTTCTCCACAAATTTTGAGGAATCAAGATTGAACACTTTTTAAAGTGTCTTTAAGTAATGGACACGACATGTAATGAATATTGGATAAATATGTCAGGGGAAAAATAATCTTCCAAGGGTTTGAATGAAAGCATTATACACACACATCCATATCTACTTTGGATACAATTGTAACATTCCTATATTGTTTGCTGAAGCTGTACAGTTATTTACTCCAGATAGGAAAGGAAGGAAGGAAGTTTCAAAGTGTGACATTATTTTACTTACTGCTTCTCAGAGTGACATGTTGCTTTCTTCCGGATTTTTGCTATAACACATAAAAAGAACAGCACAGTTTTACCTACAAACAGTGCTATTAGGGTCATATTCTAAGAAACTGGACAAACTTTTCTCTGGCAATATCCTAACACATGACAATCTGAATAGAAGGGCAGAGCAAGTGTATGTCTAGAATCATTTATTTTCCCCTACTATAAAGCAAATTGAACATTTTCAGATAAGCTCACACTTGCTTCTAAAGAGTGCTGCACTGCACAGCCTTTTCTCTGACCTACATCTAATCTTCATTTACACACAAGGTTTAAGCTGGCCAGACATTATACAACCATTAAACCATATAAAATGAAGTCAAACCTAAACACTTAATTTGTATGCAATCAGGCAGGCCTTGCACTACATATGTAAAGGTAAATCTAAAAGAAATTGAAAAAATTGTAAAATGTGTGGTCAGTTAAAATGTACTTAAGTGGAGTAAACCCAAAGAAAATCAGTATTCATTTTGTATTTGGCCGACATCACCAAGTAAGTAAATTCTTGCTGGTTCTGCACTTAAAGAAAACCCAAACTAAGTGATTTAGATGTCTTTGTATTTTTACATGGTCAGCTATGGCAGGCTCCATTTTTTTGTAAAGGTTTCTGAAAGGCATTAACATTCAAACTTTAAAGCAGCACTCAAGCTCATGTTTTTCTAAAACTGGACAGATTGGAGAGAGGTTATAACGTCTGCAAAGCTTTTATTGCTATAACTTCCTGGAGAGATGTATCTCAGAAAGAGAAAATCCAAAGTCTTACTGCTGTCACTGAAACAAAAGTAGAGGAACACTGAATCCAATGATGACTGTCAAAGTTGAGATTACAAGCCACTAAGGTGCAATGCCACCTTTGACAGTCATTAAATTCTATCATCTTTAAATCAAAAAAGTCCTACCTTTAATGCAAGGTGGAGTACACAAAGGATGTCCATTTGTCTCACACCATCCCATTGGAAAGATGTCCATGGATTCCACTTGCACAATGCACTCAGGAACTGGAGTCTTAACACCTGAGGTGATGGATTAGATCTCAGTATTCACACATTTACCAAAACACCTTCTCAATTAAATGTCAAACGCAAATAAGGGTAATTTGCTCAGCAACCCCCTTTTTAGATCCACATTCACCAGGGATAGCTTCCGGTTGGGCTCACACATACAGGTTTAGATTCCAGTCTGAACACGCCCAAGCTCATCACTATACACCAGCAATGCTTTTGACCATTTAGTGTACTTACATGTACAATTTTCAAATGTTTGGGGCTCTTATTTTCTGAAGTAGACTATAAGCCAGATTTTGCTACTACAAGAAGGAATCTAAATCATGATGGGTGGAAGGGATTGTACAATCTTTGAAATAATCCTTAAAGCCTACCATTTCTTTTTAACAAACCTGCCTTGAATGTAAGGTCAATTTTAAAGACCAAATTAAAATGCAGTATATTGTTTTACTGAAGAAAGCACATACAATCCATTTAATCAACATAAGCCATGGCTTTGACTTTTCTTAATCTGGTTAACTATCAGCAATTACGCAAAGCAGTAGCATCAAACACATGCATCTCAGAGCTTAAAGGGTGACTCCATCTTCATGATGAAAAAAAAAAAAAAAAAAAAAAAAAAAAAAAAAAAAAAAAATCGCAAATAAAATGAAAATATATAGAATATACAATTACTACACAAGCTATATTGTAATTTAAAGTTATTAAATATTATTAAAAAACTACATTTCCTGTTAAAATCTGCATCCGCTATAATTTTCTGTAAAATTCAATGCAATATGGCAATCCACCAAATCAGCATTTCTTGCTTATGTGATTGGCTCGCTGTTTTTCCTAGAGGTCTGCACAAAGTCAAATTTTAGGCACCTCCTGCAATATGAATTTTTGTTTTGGTGACTCGAAGGTAAATGCTTTTAAAATAATGCAGATCCTGAAACCTATCTCATTGGAACACAGAGTGCACCAGCTCATTATAATGAACCAGCCCCTCTCATTCAGGATCTTCGAAGGACAGAGTGAAATGAACAGCTATTTCTGCAGAGCATGTCGGTGCTGTCCTTATTCAGTCAGTCATTCTTTCCCTCCCTCAGCCTGGATTTTCAGGTTTTAGGGGTGGAAAAAGTGCATTTTTTTGCTTTTGTTTTTTTTTTTTTACCCACTTACACTTCCTCAACCTTTGCCTAAGACACATCACATTCACATAACTTAGGAGACTCAGTTTCCTTGAGTTGAGCAATGTTACACATGTGCAGTGAGGAGTTGGCTGCGATTCATCAGGAAGGTGGCGTTGGGAATCCGCAGCAGTGAGAAGAATCAGCTGTGTGAAGACAGCACTAGACTTCTTGGGATGATCAATACTTGTTTTTCAAATGTCCTCATTTACAGCACTTTAGCCGTTGACACTGAATTTTTAAACTACTAGGTCAAGTACCTTTTTAAATGAGTTCAGTTATTACACAAAAGTACAGGATTAGAGAGGCACACCTTATACCGAGACAGAGGTTAAATTGACAGGAGTTTGAGGAGGCAGACATGTCCACCCTTATCCCAGCTAAGTCAGGGAAAAAAAACTTAAATGGCTTCATCAGAGTTATTATGCTCTAGTAAAACTATACGATTTAGGTTTACATGCTCATCAGTCCTGCTTAAGGGCTGCCAGGAATAGGACTTTTTTCCCAGGAATGCTGCTCTATTTTCAACTTTTAGCATTGGATCCCCTTATTTATTGGTGCTGTAACTAATTTAGCCTACCAAAAATCCTGTCACTGGAAACATGCCTTTTAGGCCTCTTTCAGGATCTCCTTAACATTTTATAGCAAAAAAGTGTATCTTCCTTAACTGGAAGGCCTCTTATCCTCCACTGATCTCCATGGGGATATGTCAGATTAACTCTGTTCTCTCACTCTGCAAGTTAACATATGCAAACAGAGGTCACCCAGCACTTTGATAAAATTTGGGGACTGGATTCTCTCCTCATGCTTCAGCCAACTCTCCTTTGTAACCTGTCTTTCTCTAACCCAATTTGATGTGTTAGGGCTGCTACTTCCATTGGTAAACTCAGACCAATTATTACAGTTTCAGCCCAAATCACCCTATACTTCTAAGACATGACCCAGGTCAGTTCCCAAAAAAGGCATTACAAAAGCCAATATTCAATACAGGTAACTTCACAGTAGCATATGTGTTAAATGAAAAACATTTTTACAGACCTTCAAGTTTAAGCCAGATGTAAGGGCCAGTGACCTTGGTTATGGTAGCTACACAGACATCCTGGGGATTGAAGGGATTGACTGCCTCTAGCTTCATCCTCTCTTGAAAGACATGATCACTCTGGGGCTGAGCAGATGAAAAAAATGTCTAGGTGAAAATCTTGTGATGACAGTTCTACTGTCAATAAATTAAGAGACTGCTTTCATTTCTTTAGCTTTGTTTTTATTATTTGTAACACCATATAGAAAAAAAAATAGATGAAAGTCTGAAGTCAGTTACTGGTGAAATTATCTAATGTGGCACAGCAGCAAAATACAGTGGCCATCTATCATTGTGTAGTAGTATAATATTTTGCACTGCTGTTGTCTACGGTGGGGGCAGAAGTGTCATTCCCTTATGTAACCCCATCGGGATGAGACAGTAAATATTTATACTTTCCATCTATTAACAATTAATTGGAAGATTCTACCATTTGCTTGGACCCCAATGCATAGGATTCACTTTGCTGTTCAGTGTGTCTACTAATTGTCTTGGCAAGAAGTAAAACTGCACTGATATTCTATTTATGCTGGAATACTGTGATACTACAATTATTCAACAGGGAATACAAGATAATCAGATTCAAATTAATTTCGCTTTAAAATTTCAAGTCCTTAATTAATATTTATCAGATACTTATTTTGGCTACAGGACACTTTTAAACAACATTCCCAAAGGTGTCTCAGTACTGAACTAGAAGAATTAAACATGACGAGCATCCAGCTAACCCTAGATGAACCAGTCTAACTAAGCTTATATAATACATTTTACTTTTCAATGTAAGGTAATGCAACAGTTACACAGACACAGTAAAAAAAACTTTCCTCCATTAGTGTGAAAGAATTCCTTAGGTAACAAAATATTAGGAATATAATACAACTGATCGCTAGAGGGCACCAGAGGGTATTCTTTCTAGTCCTCACTATGAAACGAGAAAAGGAAACTAAATTGCTTTGGGGTCAGTTTTAGGTTTTATTTTAAGTTTACATCTACACTTCTCTCCCTTATGGTGCAGAGCAAATTAATTCAGAAATCAGTTTGTCTTTTTTATGATACTGAAATTTTTATTAAATCTTTATTTTGCAGCCTAAAGAAAAAAATACAATAAAATTAAATATTTTTAGTTTTAGTTTTTAAATCAAGTGTAACTACTACCGAGATGATGGCTTTTTCTTAGCTGACTGGCTCCCGCCTTTCTTGTCTGCATTAGCTCTTTTGGACTCACCAATCTCTTTTTTTTCTATATTATATATCAATTTTAATTAACATACATTATTTCACAGTATACAACAATATTTTTCCATATACATTTTTTTTTACACTAAACAAACAAGAAAAAAAACCTTACACACCACCCTTTTGTATGTTGTCATATGTTTACTTTTGCTGTGCTTATCATTTTGGTTAAGCTTTGGTCCATAAAGTGCCTTGCACCTTTGTCTTTGTTCGCAATGACTCTTCTGTAAACTTTTGATTATTTTCAGCTGTATATTGTCTTTGCTGCACTATTTTTGTGTATTGTGTGGTTACTTATGCAAAATGTTTTGAAAAATCTTACTATAAATAAAAGATTACATGCAAAAACAAGTGTAAATGTAGATACAAACTACTATTTTGTGATTTGTCACATTTATAATTACACTATAATCATGTTTTTGATACAAAGCAGGACAGGTTTTTTTACAAAAAAAATCAACAAAATGAATAGTAAAAATGTTTATGTATGAACTTAGGGTTAAATAAGTTTGTGCACTTCTTATAGTCCTCATGCATTGCACAAAATTGATAAACATATAACCGCCTTCCTGAAAACACCATCCACCTGGCTATCTCTGCCTTTAAAACTTTAAGTCTCTGGCCCGAAGCAATCAGGAATTTTGACTTCACTTGTTGCATGCTCAATCCAAGTCAGTCATTCAAAAACGAATAAACTTAACAAACTAATAAAGCCAAGGAGAGACAGGCAACTAGCCTTCGGCAATGGCAAACCCCCTATTTCTCACACAGGTTTCTTTTAAATAAAATGAGATCTGTGTACAAAATGCTAACACCTTGTGTTTCACATTATTATTATCATCATTATAAATAGATTACAGATTTATTTTCTAAAGAGATGACAAATCATGCTACTAGCGACTGTGCATATACCTTGTATTTTCTTTCTGCTTCCAAACCAAACTGCACGTCAATAAATCTCTTAGCTCATATAGCTTAGCATACCAGAATGTCAGGGAGTCCAGCTAATTATTAACACAGAGCAAGCTGCAGGGATGAAATACTCACCTCAGGGAAGCAACTGTCAGGAGCAGCATGAGCATTGCAATGAGTCAGATATTCATCCCAGTCAAAAGCCTGTTCCGAGTATCCTGTGGAAAGAAAATGATGAGTGACAGTGTAAGGCATGTTGCTTAATACAAGAATTGTATAGCTAGCTTGAGAACATTGTGTGTAGATTAAATGAAATGAAGGCTTCTAAAGGAATGCTAATCTGTATGCTACAAATACAGAACTGACACAATGAAATAAGACAATACTGCCATTACCATGACAAATTGGATGCTACTCCATAAAAAAAGATTCTTGCATGTCTGTGTTTATCATCATGAGAGGGAGATGCACTGATTTACCTGGAGGGCTTTGATAGAATGATAGCCATATCTCCTAAAGGGATTAGCTTGTAAACCAGTACCCAACACAGGATTCTGAACATCATGTAGTAACATAGAACTGTCCTCGCATTTTGCAACTCAAATGTAGGGAAAATCAGGGTCCATTTTTCAGCAGTTTACATTTTCAGCTGTGTCCATAAAGTACCATCATATCAGTACAGACAGTCTGCAATCTTTGCAGGTGGTACTGCAACTGAATTTTTTTAAATTGTTAATGGTGCCAATTACTGGGTGTAACTAAAAGAGGCAGGGATTACATTGTGTTACTAAAAATATTGAAAGAAATAATCTTCACGGGACTTTGGTTCTAGCATCTCCACGGTTCTAACATATCTAGGACAAATATAACTGCAACTTCCCATTGCACTTAGATTGTTTTCATTTGCCAATGGTAGAACGGAGAATGAAAGCCAAAAATCTGAATTTCAAAGTACCTGTAAATCCCATATCTGGTAGTACAGTACAGGATAAAGGCATTGATCCACCATAGGTTTTATGCCCCCATCTTAAGATTGAACACTGGCAAAATCTTTTCTGGGTTTGCCCCCCCCATCACTGTATCCATATAACCCCACCCACTCCACAAGGCTCTATTTGTTAACAATGAGAAGAGTACAGGAAACGAGGGGGGGATCTTAGTACTGTACTCCAAAATATGAAATTTACAAATACGTCAAAATTCCTATTTTTATCTTACAGTACAGCAATCAATTCATAGTCCATGGGACTTCCCCAAGCATAAATGAGAAGGGGGCTACAAACCAGCTAAACACAGCAGCAAGAACCCACAGGAAAAAGACAAGAAAGGGAATCTGATTCAAACAGAGTACGTAAACCGAACAGGAAAAATTCCTGATATGTGCCTGCTGTACCATGTACTTGTAAGAAAAGGTATCCTGTTCTCTTTGTATTGCTTCCTTTGTGTGAAATGCCTGGTGTTCCTGTCAGTCCCTCTGCTTTCCTATCAAAAACAGACCACACTAAGCAGGAGAGCACATCGTGGTCAGTTCTCTTAACTGTGCTGGGAACCCAGCCTGTTCACCTCCAATAATGAGACGTGCTCTGCCACATATCCTTCCTGCACAGCCTTTCACTGGGATGTTCAGTGTACTGCTGTTTTCTTCCCCTAGCTCTTATGCTGCTGAGAACAGAGGGAATGTAATCATTTATAAAAAAAAGGGAAAAATTTTATACTTTGTTTCCATCTATACACAAATGTTTTGCCTTTCATTTCTATTTTAAACTGAATGGGTTGAGGGTTTACACATACTTTAACACAAAAAACACCTTGTAGCTAAAGGAAGCAGAAGCAGAGGCTCAAACAGCGACCTGGCAAACTAATGGGTTTGAAATAAAATGTTAACTAAATATTAGGTCATGGCTCCACACAAGTGAGGACAGATGTTACACACTGTATATAGTGCCCAAGGACCCGACCTTAACAAGAGAATGGGCTTAGGCAGGGAAAGATGGGCAGAAGCCCTATGAAAAGGTAAAATGACTACCCAGTCGGGTGGAAGGGCAGGTGGGAATTCAATGGAGGGACAACCCTGAAAAGAAACAATGAGAAGAGGGGTCGTGTACCAAGGGAAGACATACCGAGTAGCTGTTGATGCAATACCTGACCCCATTCCCTAAGAGGAGAAAAAATATGTTGTGCCCTCTAACAGGGCATTGGAAGGAAGAATTGAAATTCCTATAAAGTCGATAAGAGGAACACCAAGGAGAACTGGTTTCCATGTTACCCATCCTCACACAGAAAAAGAAAAAAAAGGGAGAGCCACGGCAAAACTATTGTTGTCAGGGATAATGCAGAGAAGGTGGTTACATTTTTATATGGAACACATGGAAGGAATAGTTCGATAGAACAGAAATGGAGGGTTCTATTTATCAAGAGGCCCTGCACAAGTCCCAGAGAGATACAAAAGGTCACAGCAGGCGACAAAGGAGAGACACCTCTAACAGAAAGTGCCATGGAAGTGCAAAGTAGATAGCAAAAGGGTAAACAAAATCAATCCAAGACCCACATGAAAGTAAGTACTAAACTGTAAGCAGTGTCAGACTGGAGGATGTGCAGGATGAGGAACAAACTCCAGAATCAAGTTCTCTATTAGAAGGTAAGATGGAGGTGTATCAGCGCAATCACTGCTGAGAGCTTATAGTAGTCTAGTAATGGTGGTCCGTGTAGCACTGAGGGCAAAGCTTCAGAATAGGCTGTAGCAGACTCTGTAGATGAGAGAAGGAGAGAAGCGCCTCTAAGTGCAATATGGCTCTTTATTGAAAGTATATGTGTAGGAACACTCACATGAATAAATTAAATATAGGTATAAAAACCATGGTGGATAGGTAGGGTGGTCTTCAGGGTGAGAAGCCGTCATCTGCGGTAAGCTTGTCACTGGAACAGCGTGGTAGCTGGAGGAGAGCATCCAACTCAATGGTTGGGATGCACCTAACTGGGGAATATCTGGGAAATAAGGATAATAGGAAATCCCTAAGCAAGTTTGTGGAAGACATAAGCTGAAAATGAGCACTGAGCAAGGCAGGCAAGTGCTGAAAACTCTCTAGACCGCAGGCGCAGGAGGTAAGACACACATCTGAAAGAAGCTCTGGGAACAGGGGGGTTGGGACCCTTTCTAATACAGAGTCAGCAAATTAAGTTAACTGGAACCAAGGTCAAGGTCTTGGGAAGGTAAGAGCAGAATAGCCTCTTTATCCTTCAGCCAGGTGGTTTATTATCCGCATCCTTGGAAAAGGTAGGGAAGGGCACATCAAAACTTGGGATACAGCCTATGGGCTGAAAGTCAGGAAGGTATATGCCATGATAATATGGAGTAGCAGGGGCTTTAGGTTGTATAACTAACCTCTCCAAGTAGAGGGAAAGATGAACCAGTGATCTGAGTGTAAAAAAACCACACCTGAGCGGTTTCAAGAGGACAACCAGCATAAAGTGAGAATTCGTTTTAACGGGGGCAGCCAAAGAGTGCCAACAACATTTTCCTAAACACAAGACCAGAAAAAGACAAGAACATCATTCTGATTCAGGATGTCAGGAACAGTCCTGGGTACTCAGATGAAATGCCAGTAGGAAAACCCGATAAAGATGCAGGTTCAGTTACAAGGGAGTATTGTGAGCATCAGCAGTCAGGCATATGATACAAGTATTCAGGCTCAGAAGTCTTGTTGTAGCAAGTCTCCAAACACCCTGGGATTGATCAAGGAGTGACAAATAACCCAATAATTCACCACCATAAAGCATGGTAAAAAGAAAAAAATATTTTCTGTTTGTAATGTTTGCTTTTTTTATGGACTGTATGCCATAACCATAAGGACCCATAGTAGATGGCAATGCCTTGAGGGGGTGAATAGATCTTATATGTAAGGCAGAGGATGTACATTCTATTTGGAATTGTGATCATGGATAATAGTGTAGGTTCCCCCCTTTGCTCAGTAGCTGTCTCAATGTATTTATCAAGGGAGCTCCCAAAGAAAAGCTCACCATCAAAAAAGCACCTCCCCCCAACCAGCTCAAACACGCAAGATTTAAGCCATAAGATTCTCCTTATATGCAAAGAAAGTAAGGACATTCTGAAGATCTGATGCATCACATTCTTCATGATGTCTACACAGAATAGAAAGGCTGAAGGTAAGAGCTGCAATCTTCATGAAAAATTGGGATTATCAACATCTGGAGAAAGCTCATTATTAAAGTGGTTGTAACACCTAAACATTTTTTACCTTAATACATTCCTTGCATTAAGGTAAAAAATGTTTAGGCAACATAATTGCCCCCTCACACCTTCGATACTTACCTAAGCCCTCATTCGATCCAGCACAGTTACGTCTGCAGTGGCTCTCCCCTCTTCTCCCCACTCACAGACTTGACTGAGAGCAGCGGGATTCATTGATTCCTGCTGCTCTCAGTCAAATCCTGTGACAAGGGAGTGGGGGGCAGGGCTGAGCCTCAATCGATTGTCAATGGGGCTCAGGATCGAGCATGTAGGTGTGCCATGATAGGAAGCGGCCTCCTATGGTGGCACACCAAGAAAAGGAGAAGGCAGAAGCGCCGGTGGGGGGACCCAAGAAGAGGAGGTTCATGGCACCTCTGTGCATTTCCATTGCACAGAGCAGAAAAGTATAAACCTGTTTGTTATTTAAAAAAAAATACAATTATAGATCACTTTAATTTCTCCAGCCCAGTTTGCCAAAGCCTGGACAAATGATAATGTGGATATGGTTGGCTGTGGGGCAAGGCCAGAGCAAAGGAGGACTTCAAAAGAATCTCTAAAGCCCATCCACTAAATCCATTAGCTTCTTTAGAAATAATAGATTGATCATTCAGTGCAAAAATTGGCCAGGTCCATAAGGTGTCGATACATCTAGTGATGCACAGTCAATGGGTCCACAGTAGACAGCATATGGCAAAAAGCTAAAAGGAGTAATTTTTTGAGATTGTGGCAATCCTCTAACATTTCAGCACCCCCACCCCCTTGTATTCTGCCACTGTAAGTGTGCTAAACAATTCTGGTTGTGGCCCATGAACATAATCGGTTAGTGGATAGAAGATACAGAAATTAGTTCATGGTTCATAGCCCCCACTGATTCCAGAAGTGGCAATAACCACTGGAGTACATCAGTCATAGTGCTAGAGAATTCCACTTTAGTCAGACTGATCACATAGTGTGTGTGTGTCTGTGAGG